GATAGATAGATAGATAGATAGATAGATAGATAGATAGATAGATAGATAGATAGATCTGTATATCTGTGTGTGTGCCTCTCTCTCTCACATACACACACCTTGTAACTGTAGCTAGGGCTTACAGAGGATGTAGTTGTTTGATTAGAAAAGCACTAGCTATTTCCTCTTCTGGGTCTTGGGGGAAAGTGACTAAACCCTCTCAGGAGAGAGTGAAAGGGGAAGAATGAAGCCCTTTTAACAGTTTCTGAAAAGAATAATGAGGGAAGGAATTGCTCCAGGCCACTGCCTCCATTAACCCTCCACTGACTCCAGATTTCTACTTCTCAAAAACTCTTCCCAAGAGACCTCTGCTGACTTATTTAGTGTCAAAGATTCTTTTTAGTTCCAATTCATTTAATCTATTCTCTGCTTTGGGGGAACATAAATAATACATATCAATAAAAAAACTTTCTATGATTTCTCTTGATTCCACAGATGATAAACTTAGTTAATTAGAAAAATAATTTCCTTGTGTGTGACCCATCATAGCTTCTCTCTCAGCCAGCTTCATATAAGCAAATGAAATATAGACTATTAACATATTAGGTTAACCACAGTATTAGCTTAAAATTGGCTTTAGAAACTAACTAAACAGTAGTGCAAAATAGATTATAAAGAAACAGATAAACTTTGGAATTGATACATGCTTTCCCTAGAGGGAAAGGGAAAAGGAGTGTCATTACTATAATTCCAAGCAAAGATAACTACATTCTGTCTTCTGCAGTCCCAGGTGGCCCTGAATTGTTCAGCTTCGATCAGTCCTTTCCTGAACATCTCACCCCTTGTTGGAGGCAATGGCAACTGCCATTCCAACAGTCGCCCATTATCTTTTCATCTCAGTCATACCTCCAAGAGACTTAACATTCTCCTCCTTCTGGTGGGCTCCAAAGTTAAAGTTACTTGGGCACAGAGGCAGAGGCAGGGACTGGCTTCGGCTTCCTTGCTTCCACACACTGTCACCTGTGATGGGTCATTCATTGTGGAAGCACAATGAGCTGGTCATGCTTAAACTCTTGGGGCTTCTCCTGAGATTTCAGTTTTTTCCCTTCCTTATGGTTACAGAGATCACTGGTTCTTGGATCAGAATATGGGGCAGAATATGCTTCTGCTATGGGTCTCATAGCTTTGTAGTGTTCCAAGAGGCCTTCAGATAAGAATTTCAGGAATGGGAAACAGTCTATAGTAGTTGGAATGTTATGGATAGGAGACACAGGTTGGCTGTTATGCAGAGAAGATGAATGAGAATAATGTGAAATCAGTCCTCAAAGATAGAACAGAGACCGATTGTAACAGCATTTAAATGCCAGTAATGGGAGCCAATTGAAGCTTCCTTAGCAGACTCTTTACTAAAGGAGAGAGGAAAAACCCTGGATATATACCGGTGGGAATCATCTGCATAAAGATGACACTTTAACCTAGGATAAGATCTGACAATAAAAATAAACTGATGGAATGGGAGAAGAGCAATTTGTTGTCATGCCAATTTCATCTACGGATTCTCTTGTGATGATGTGGTTCATTTCTGTTTTAACTGCCTTTTTTGTTGCTTTATATGGCAATCGGGTTCATAGTCTTCTGCAATACATCTCAGTAAAGTTCTACAAATGTGTGTGTATGCTAAACAGTGTAAGTATTGCCT